TCGAAATGCCACTACAGCTCGCTTACAGTGGCAATAAGTCTGTAGATACCGACATGGACTACTGGCATTGACACTCGCCGCCTTCACCACCACCACCACCACCACCGCCACCATCACCACCACCACCAACATCACCAGCCACCACCACCACCACCACCACCACCACCACCACCACCATCACCACCATCACCACCACCACCACCACCATCCTGCCACCACCACCACCATCACCCAATCACCAGCCCCCATCACCACCACCACCACCACCATCACCATCACCACCACCACCATCACCACCATCACCACCACCACCACCACCACCACCACCATCCTCCACCACCACCACCACCATCACACCACCACCACCACCACCACCACCATCCCTGCCACCACCACCCATCACCACCATCCTGCCACCACCACCACCACCACCACCACCACCACCACCACCTCCATCACCACCACCAGCCACCACCACCATACCATCCCACCACCACCACCATCCACCACCATCACCACCACCACCACCACCTGCCACCACCACCCACCATCACCACCACCACCATCACCACCACCACCGCACCATCACCCATCTCCACCACCACCACACCACCACCACCTCATCACCACCACCATCCCACCACCACCATCCCTCGCACCACCATCACCACCACCACACCGCACCACCACCACCATCACCACCACCCACCATCACCACCACCACCACCACCATACCACCACCCACAATCACCACCACCATCACCACCACCACCACCACTCAGCTGTACATCACCACCACCACCACCACCACCACATCACCACCATCACCATCACCACCACCATCCACCATCCCCACCACCACCATCACCACCACCACCACCACCACCACCACCACCACCATCACACCACACCACCACCACCACCACCATCACCACCACCACCACCACCACCACCACCATCACCACCATCCACCCATCACCACCATCGCCACCACCATCACCACCACCATCACCTGCACCACCACCACCCACCACCATCACCACCATCACCACCACCACCATCAGAACCACCACCATCACCTCACTGCAAACAGCACATCACCACCACCACCACCACCACCACCATCACCACCATCACCACCACCATCACCCACCACCATCACCACCACCACCATCACCACCACCACCATCACCACCATCACCATCACCACCACCATCACCATCACCATCACCACCACCACCACCACCACCACACCACCACCACCACCACCACCACCACCATCACCACCACCACCACCATCACCACCATCACCACCACCACCACCACCATCACCACCACCACCATCACCACCACCACCACTACAGCCTACATCACCACCACCACCACCACCACCACCACCATCACCACCATCACCATCACCACCACATCACCACCACCACCATCCACCACCACCATCACCACCACCACCACCACCACCCACCATCACCACCAATGCCATCACCACCACCACCCACCACCATCACCACCTGCATCACACCACCACTACAGCTGCACATCACCACCACCACCACCATCACCACCATCACCATCACCACCACCATCACCCACCACATCACCACCACCACCATCACCCACCACCACCACCACCACCATCACCATCACCATCACCACCACCATCACCATCACCATCACCATCACCACCACACCACCACCACCTTCTGCATCACCACCACACCACCACCACCACCACCATCACCACCATCCCATCACCTCACCATCACCACCATCCACCATCACCACCACCATCACCACCACCACCGCCACCACCACCACCACCACCACCACCACCACCACCATCACCACCACCACCACCACCACCATCACCACCATCACCACCACCACCATCACCACCACCACCACCATCACCACCACCACCATCACCACCACTCCACCATCACCCACCACCACCATCCACCACCATCACCACCACCACACCCACACCACACCACCATCACCATCCACCACCACCATCACCCACCATCCACCACCACCACCACCATCACCACCACCACCATCACCATCACCACCACCATCACCACCACCACCACCACCCACACACCACCACCACCACACCACCACCACCATCACCACCACCACCACCATCACCACCACCATCACACCACCATCACCACCACCACCACCACCACCACAGCTCCAGCACATCACCACCACCACCACCACCACCATCACCACCATCACCATCACCACCACCATCACCACCACCACCACCACCACCACCACCATCACCACCATCACCATCACCACCACCATCACTCACCACCACCATCCACCACCACCATCACCACCATCACCACCACCACCATCATCATTATCCACCTTTTGTTCTTCAGTAGGCGTGGCATATCACATGACACGGTTAGGTCAGGTCAGGTCAGGTCAGGTCAGATTTCAAGCTGGGGTGTGTAATCTTCATATGATCTACCCCACCACCTCCATACCAAAACGTCGATGGTGGCATATGAGGAACTTCCCTTGGACACAGCGGGGCACTAATGCTACCCTAACAAGGCCTAACAAGCGGGGCAGGGCCATTGAAGACGATCGCTCAGGGCATTTGCGTAAGGGTGACCGACTAAGCAGGAGCGAGTAATGTAAGCTTTGAGAGAGAGAGAGGGAAGGAGAGAGAGAGGGATGGAGTGGTGTTGGCGGGAATCAATCAGGGTAGGGATGAACCTAAATGGTCTCAAGTGGAAGAGTAATGCATGTGCTGTACCAAACAAACCAGACAGCTCACGATGAAACCTTCCTGCCATTTACACCCAGCCTCTATTGTTGGTTTGGTTAGGTTAGGTTAGGGTTAGGTTGGGTTAAGTTAGGTTAGGGTTGGGTTAGGTGGTTAGGTTGGGTTAAGTGGAGTTAGGGTGGGTTAAGTAAGGTTAAGGTTAGTTTAAGTAGAGTGAGGTGAGGTTACATGTGGGAAAAGTTAGGTTGGGTTAGGTTAGGTTAGATTAGGTTAAGTTAGGTTAGGATTGGGTTAAGTTAGGTTAAGGTTAGGTTAGGTTAGGGTTGGGTTAAGTTAGGTTAGAGGTGGGTTAAGTAAGGTTAAGGTTAGTTTAAGTAGAGTGAGGTGAGGTTACATTATTGGGAAAAGTTAGGTTGGGTTAGGTTAGTCACGAAGGGGAGTCTTACATGATATAAAACAGTGATGAACGAGTCTTACCGGCATAAAAGACCCCACAACGGTTGAAAGACTCCAGAAAAAGATCCCAACCGCCATTAAATATTTCCTGGAGAATCTGTCGCCCAAGAAACCAAACATAGGAGCCATGACCATGTAGACCAAGACGAAGGCTGTCTGTAGAAGGCCAGACTGGGAGTCATTGATGCTAAACGTGTGCTGGATGTTGATGAGAATACCTGGGGACAGAGAGACAGGTATTACGTGTTAATTAGTTGGAGTACACAGGTATGACAGGTATTAGGGAGTCATTGATGCTAAACGTGTGCTGGATGTTGATGAGAATACCTGGGGACAGAGAGACAGGTATTACGTGTTAATTAGTTGGAGTACACAGGTATGACAGGTATTAGGAGTCATGATGCTAAACATTGTGCTGGATGTTGATGAGAATACCTGGGACAGAGACAGGTATTACGTGTTAATTAGTTGGAGTGCACAGGTATGACAGGTATTAATTAGTTGGAGTGCACAGGTATGACAGGTGTTGATTGGTTTGAGTGCACAGGTAAGTCTTCCACTACTCTTTGTTCCACTCATCCACTAAGCTGGGGTGTCTAATCTGCTAACATAAGCTGGAGTATATAATCGTGTCAAATAAGCTGGGGTGTCTAATCTGGTAAAATAAGCTGGGGTGTCTAAGCTTTAGGTGTCCCACGTAACTGAGTGAAAGTTTCAAGTGGTTTTTATTGAAGCTGACGTGATGCAAATGTTAGTGACACGACTAGATTTTCATACATGACACACACACACACACACACACACACACACACACACACACACACACACACACATGCACACACACACACACACACACACACTTACACTTTAACCAAGCTAACAAGATAAACACACACACACACACACACACACACACACACAAGCTTATAATGGCATAATAATGTAACTTGTGTAAAATCTGGTGTCCCAAGGTCGACGGTCATACATATATACATACATAAACACACATGTTGGCTGCTATTATTATTATTATTACACACATACATTCAGTACATATAAGGGTGAAATGGACTGCCCTGGTATATTTGTTAAGCGGATTAGCTCACTTTTTTGTACACGTATGGTGGTGGGGGGTGGGGTAGCGGTGGTAGTGGTGTAGTGGTGGTAGTGGGGTAGTGGTAGAAAAGGTGGTAGTGGGGTAGTGGTGGTAGGGGTAGTGGTGGTAGTGGTGGTAGTGGGTGGTAATGGGCAGTGGTAGTGTGGGTGGTGGTAGTGGGGTAGTGGTGGGGGTAGTGGTGGTAGTGGTGGTAGTGGGGTAGTGGTGGTAGTGGGGTAGCGGTGGTAATGGGCGAGTGGTGGTGGTGGTGGTATATAGTAGCACCACAAGAAATCTGAGAATAAAATTCATCAACCAGGCTATAGTCAATCTCCTGACCAGCATCCGCCAGTAGGGTCAGTGGAATATGAAATAAGGGTCCCTCAAAACACCTATATACTGGATAGGATAGGTTAGGTTAGGTTAGGTTGCCTGTACCGACGGACAATAACTAACCCATGACACAACCCTAACCCGTAACCCACTATTAGCTTAGATAACCCACTGCCCCCCCCCTCTCTCCTACCTCCTGTTAAATTTCTTCAATATCCGAACTATAAATTCCTATATCCACCTCTACTCTTTCTCTCTCTCTCTACAGAAAAGGCAGTGGTAGTAGATTGTGGTAGTAATAGTAGTAGATAGTGGTAGAAATAGTGGTAGTAGTAGAATTAAGCATACTGACGAGTACTCCTTGGATTACATTAGTGAACTCAGGTGTGGCAAGAGGGAGAGGAGGAGGAGGAAAGAGAGGAGCAAGAGAGAGAGAGAGAGGAGAGAGAGAAGTGCCGTGAGGAAGGCAGTAAGTCTAATAGTATCTAGTTAAATTCAGGAGTCCACAGTTACCAGGTCCATGCTGATGACACTCCCCCCAGGAACAAACACCTCAGTAAGTTGTATACAGACACTGCTTCATATTGGAAAATAGCCATAATTATTGATATAGACATGTTAGAGGGGTGGTTTTAGTGTCTACGAAGAGGGCGGACCCAATGAAGGAGTCAGGAATAGTTTTAACTGTTGATGTGTTTACTATTTGTGTGTGTGTGTGTGTGTGTGTGTGTGTGTGTGTGTGTGTTTAGGATTCACCCGTTCGTCTGTTTACGCTTGAGTGGGTGTTTAGGAGTCACCTGTACGTGTGTTAAAGCTTGAGTGGGTGTTTAGGATTCACCTGTACGTGTGTTAAAGCTTGAGTGATGATAAGAGTGGGACTCCATGTCTTCCTCACCATTCACCTCACTAGTCACACCACTTCCATCTTCACCTCTTGGGTCGTGAGCGGGTTGTGACATCATCTGGACCCGTGCAGTGGCGGAAGGCGGTGCACGAGAGGTCTGCCGGGAAGCTGCTGCAGATGGCCTGGGGGTAAGCCTTCCCTTCACCTCTGTACCGGCAGCTTGGGGCGTTCATGAGGCCGGGAGGTGTATAGGGTACTGCAGTGATCAATGGCTTCAGCTGGGGTGGTTTTCGCTCTTGTTTGTGTAGAGGACGTATGTTGGTCAGCAGTTGACCTGACCTGACCCTACAGTATAGTGCAGCAAGAACTCCTGACCAGCTCCGCCTCTGTGACATTTTCCCCCACCCAGAACTGTGTTAAGCACCCCGAACAACTGGTGGCTGTTATCTCCAGGAGCAGCTGCTTGTGGTGTTGACATGGGGAATGTTTCCGTCCCGTTTCTCCAGGTGGTCGTGAGCTGCCTCCTCCAGACTGTGATGTAGACAAATAACACCGTGTCATCGTTAAGTATGTAGATGGTTGCCTCGCACGCTGCCTAGATGATATACTGTAGCTCACCATGCTCACGTCTGCGTCACGAGTGTACTGCATACCCCAGAGAACACTTTCTACACCAACACAGTCTGCCACGTTGGGTGAGTCATCTACTACTGTACCATGGATGATATTGAATAACTGAGGCGAGGTGTACGATGAGAGGTGGGTGGCAGGTCTTGATCGCTTCTCACCCACCCTCGCCTCTGCCAGAAGGGATGACGCCCCCAGCAGGAACCAAATGACGTGATGAGTATAGTGGCAGTGTTGACCAGCGGCGAAGAATTTATGAGATAATGCTCCTAAAGAAATCCACCTCCTTCCTACTCTCCCCACACAAGCTGAGGAGGTGCTAATAATAATAATAATAATAATTAACGGTTTATTGAAGAGCTTACAGCCAGAAGCTGAAAATATACAGTTACATATTTGGGGAATGGGTTACGAATTACAAATAATATACAAGTGACATATGACACAAATAAGACATATAGTAACTTAGATGGGGATCAGCTCAAACTACAGTTCATTTCAACATAGTGACAGTGTAGGGAGCAGTGTTTACTGGGAGTGAATACACTGATTTATTACATGTTATTGATAATCTTTACAATGGTTGGGACTGGGCTGTTCTTATAGCGATCAGTTCGTGCGCGTATGGGCTGGATGCGGTTGTGGTGTCGAACAGCAATTCTCGGACAGGGGATCTCAGGTGGTAGTAGGGGCCGGTGTCGGGGGTGGTGTAGAAGCTTCTTACCAAATTTGCAGATGAGGCCGTGGTGATGGTCAGTGAGAGTCGAGAGGGTCAGTGTGTTGAGCGCTTCTTGATATGTGGAGTGGGAAGGGGCGAGAATAATCTTGCATGCCCTCTTTTGCACTTTTTCTAGGTGCTGTGTGTGTGTGTGTGTGTGTGTGTGTGTGTGTGTGTGTGTGTGATGAGAAGACACACCCATACTGACCAGATATAAATGACCCGTATGCCTTCTGCAGATATCCGGTCATAACACCAATAGCGGTCAGGTCACCCTCCCCTCTCATATATCCCAGATTGTGCTTATCATTATAGGGCAGTAGAACATGATAGGATGATATACAGTAGAATAATTGATATATATTATTCCACTCTACACCATGGTCAGAGAGAGAGAGAGAGAGAGAGAGAGAGAGAGAGAGAGAGAGAGAGAGAGAGAGAGAGAGAGAGAGGAAGCTGTGGCGTCCCAATTAGGAAAATTCTACCACCTCACAAACCACTACAGCATGTCATTTATCACGTACACATTTATAAAGACAAAATCTAACCTAACTTCACCACCTCTCCTTCACCACCTAGTGATTGATAATGCCCGTGTCGTTTTGATTAAGGGCACATTGCTGCTTATATTGTTTTGTAACTGTGAGAGAGAGAGAGAGAGAGAGAGAGAGAGAGAGAGAGAGAGAACTATGTGTCTTCAACAAAGCTTTATATTAGCACATACATTATACATACATACAGATAATAGCTTAGAGTCTAATCATCCGGTAAAATAAGCAGGCGTGAGGAAATCATCCGGCCAAAAAACTAGGTGGCTAATCATCCGGTAATTTTATATTTACCAACTCCGATGATCAAGACGTCACATACCTGGCAAAGAGAAAATTTATACGTAAATAATTATGTAGGTTAAGGAGAGAGAGAGAGAGAGAGAGAGAGAGAGAGAGAGAGAGAGAGGAGAGAGAGAGAGAGAGAGAGAGAGAGAGAGAATTTACACAAAAAGTTGAGACAGGAAGCTGAGAAGTAGTTATAGAGGGAGGGGGGAAGGAAGGAAGGAGGAGGAAGGGAGGAGGAAGGAAGGAAGGAAGGGAGGGAGGAGAAAATTAACACCCAAACAACATCCTGAGTTACTGTCTCCTCCCCGTTTCTTTCCTTTCCTCCCATCATTGGTTTTCAACATGACACACACACACACACACACATACACACACACACACACACACACACACACACACACACACAAAACCTGTTCCTGTGTGTGTGTGTGTGTGTGTGTGTGTATCGCCATTGTAAAGGGGAGAAGAGGAAATACGAAGGAGGGAGAGAGAGAGAGAAAGAAAGGATGGAAGGAAGGGGAGAGAGGTGGACTTCCATCTGAATGACACTTGGTATGGCGGGCAGCCCCTGTCCAACCCCTGAGTGAATGGCTCTCAGGTGATAAGACTCCTGCCTTACCTCTATAAACTGTTAACTAATATAATGTATTTCTCTGTGTATGAACCTCTGTCCTATGTGGCAGTGATCCCACCCTCAGTGTCAAGACCTGCCTCAATTAATAGGCTGTACCCCAAGCTTTGTCGAATGAGGGAAGAGGGTGAGG